TTGAAAATTATTTTGGCCATCTCATGTAAATTAAAAAACAAAATTATTAGTTTGACTTGATATTAGGAATTAGTCTTTTTATGGAGTTTCTTCTAAAGGATATAAATGTTTCAACTGTGCTTTTGTAAACTTTTGTTTTTAAAATTTAAGAAAATAAAAAAGGTGAACTATGAGCATTAAACTTGTGTGAATTTATTTTATTTTATTTTTTTTAACCAAAGCTGAACAGAAAACAACTGATCCTATTCAGCTCAACATAACTGTTTTTATATATATCCGCCAGGGGGCAGTACTATTAAATCTGCGCTCCTTTTTTTCCTGCGGCTCTGGCGGAAACGGCACCGTTCAGTGTTTTCCGTAGTCATCGTCGTATAACTGGGCAACTGTAAAGAGTGGACTACATCCACGCGAAAAGGGCCTTCTGTTTATTTGTTTGCCTTTTTATCTAGCGTCAAAATGCCACTGGAAAATCTGGAGGAGGAGGGTCTGCCTAAGAACCCAGATCTGAGGATAGCTCAGCTGAAGTTTCTGCTCACAATGGACGGCCACCGAGACGATGAGAAAGTGAAGACCGAGCTAATGGATGCTATCAAAGCTAACAGTGAGTTAGCCTCTTCAAACTCAACGATAACATTGAGTCATTTGAAAATATCTTGAAACAATCCGTTCAGATTAGTTATTTAGTTATAGTTGACTATTTCTAACGTGTATGAATTAAGTTTGATAAAATACAAAATGAAAATAAAGGCTTTGTAGCGGCATTAGCATGTGAGCTAACAATGTTAGCGTCCGGTAATAAGCTTTAATTTGCGCTTCTTGTTTCTAGTTCAACACAAACAAGAACAATTACAGGGTTCACTAGTTAACTTTGTGTTCATATAACGTATCTGTGCGTCTAATAATAAGAGAGGCAACGCTACAGCCTTCTCTAACATATGAATCGATGATTTAAAGCCGTTTTAACCATCTTGCTACGGTGGCCCTGAAGTGCAGACTGCAACTACAAATCTAAAAGCGCAACTTAATCTTCAGTTAATGTTGTGTCTGTTTCAGATATGGCTCCCTATTATGAGGGCCTGTGTAAGGAGCTGAAGTGGCCGCTAGACTCTGACCTGCTGAGCAAAATGAAAAAGGCCAACGAAGAGGAGCTGAAGCGCCTGGATGATGTGCTGGAGGATGCAGAGAAGAACCTGGGAGAGAGTGAGATCCGGGATGTCATGATGGCTAAAGCCGAATATTTAATCAGAATTGGAGATAAGGTGAGATGATTCAGCAAGGAACATGAGAAAATCCTCAGATTTGTGGCAATATATTACAAAATTGTCTTGAAGGTGTGACTTGAAGTAGTAATTGCAGGTGTAGAACTAATGTATAAATACTAACTGATATATTTTAAGCAGTTCTTTCTGTTTAGACTTCTGTGGCTTTCAGCTAGTAAAGCAAGTTTTAGTTTAGCAAAAAAAAAGTTATATAAAGAGGATTTTTTAAATAAAGAAATGTCCCATTATGACCTACATTGGAGGTCTTCAACAGGGGGTCTGCGGAGGTACTGCATGGGGGCTGTGAAAGTTTTCGTTGATTAAATTTTTTTTTATTCCCCCTTTTAATTTTTTTCACTAATTGACATGTCTTTAAATACAATTTAGCATGAATTCAACAGACTGTAGTAAACAGATAAATGGAGTCAGAAGATGTCTTTCAGTCATCAATCTACACATTCAGCGACACACAGGAGCTCTTTCAAGCTAGTCACCGTTTCATTCACAACACCTGTCCCATCAACCAGGAATCAGAAATACTTTAATAATCCCAGGGCCAAATTACTTTCATTAAATTTTTCCATCTGTAATAGAGTGACTATAGGACCAGTTTGATATAACACTATTTCATACAATATATATAGTTAGGGGGTCCCCGCTCCATCTCGCCATCCTTGGCCTGGAAAACGTTGAAGACCCCTGACCTATATGATTATAAGATTCCACTGACAGTATTCCCAAAAAAAAAAACAATCCACTGGACTTTGTTTTCCAAGTTTGAAGAGGTTTCGCTTCCCATCCAGGAAACTTTTTAAGCTTTATAAAACTTCCTGGGTGGGAAACAGAACGTCTTTAAACTTGAAAAACAAAGTCCAGTGGATTGTTTTTTTTTACGTTTTTGGAATGACTATGATCTGGAGGGCTGAGAATCTTCACCAGCATATGAACATACAGTAATTAAGATAACAATCACCAACACCTTAGAAGAGAAAAAAGTTCAATTACACAAAAATATAATGAAGCTGGCCGTCCTAATGTTTATCCTGTTTTATTAATGGAAATTTAAGTGGAAAGTCGTTTAAAGTCGGAACCACCGCCTAACGGAGACTCATTCAAGAGTTTGAGGTAGCTTCATAAGACATTAACTAGAGCTGAAATCAGTGACTGAAGATCCAGCTCCCA